TTAATATCTCATTTAAAATCACTTATAATTTATTATTTAATTAAAATCGCTGAACGAATGCCTGAAACAGATGTAAAACAAGAATAAAATGTGAATTTTAGTGTAATTTTGAGAATAGTTTGAGAGAGTCTTCACTACAACGACAACGAAGAGTGAGTTTCACACAAAATATGAGACGAAAAGAGCGATCGATATTTTAGTTAATCTTTACGGCAATGAAAAACAGGAGCTCTCCATAGAAACGACCGAAAATGGGATCTTATTATTGCGATGCTTTTACTCTCACTCTCTCGCAGATCAATATTTCAATGGCAAACGTGTGGTTGTGTTGTGTCGCCGACACTATCACAACATATTGAGTAACAAGAATCCCATTAATCCCTCATCTCATCCAGAATTTTACAAATTCAAACATTTTAATTAATGTCAGAATTGAAATGACTTTGTCTGCAATATTCTTGTAATGAATTAGGAATTAAACAATAATTTTTGGTCACAAAAATGAGTTTCGTATTGAGAATGAAGTCTCAATTGAATGATGTATTTTCGCAATTTGGCAAATATATAGCGCCCACCTATTATCACGACAGGTGTGTTTAATATCTCATTTAAAATCACTTATAATTTATTATTTAATTAAAATCGCTGAACGAATGCCTGAAACAGATGTAAAACAAGAATAAAATGTGAATTTTAGTGTAATTTTGAGAATAGTTTGAGAGACTCTTCACTACAACGACAACGAAGAGTGAGTTTCACGCAAAATACGAGACGAAAAGAGCGATCGATATTTTAGTTAATCTTTACGGCAATGAAAAACAGGAGCTCTCCATAGAAACGACCGAAAATGGGATCTTATTATTGCGATGCTTTTTCGATGCACTCTCTCGCAGATCAATATTTCAATGGCAAACGTGTGGTTGTGTTGTGTCGCCGACACTATCACAACATATTGAGTAACAAGAATCCCATTAATCCCTCATCTCATCCAGAATTTTACAAAATCAAACATTTTAATTAATGTCAGAATTGAAATGACTTTCTCTGCAATATTCTTGTAATTCTTTAGGAATTAAACAATAATTTTTGGTCACAAAAATGAGTTTCGTATTGAGAATGAAGTCTCAATTGAATGATGTATTTTCGCAATTTGGCAAATATATAGCGCCCACCTATTATCACGACAGGTGTGAAAGGTATGGATCACTCATTTCATCAATATTTGTTGAACCAAACCATTAAACATATTTCACATCCATTTATTTAATTACACGCCTTATTCCCTATTTATTATCAATTATTATTTATATGATTTGTATCACAGCTTCAACTCTACCCAAAAACTTACCTTTTATTTAAACTCATTTTTATATTTGTTTGCTTAAAATTATGTAATTCTTTGCATTAAATTAATGTATTCTTACAATTCTTACAATATTTAATTAAACATTAAATTACAAACACAAAACACAACACAATTATTGTTAATAAATGAGTTAATTGTTGAACATATTGTCCGACAGATCTCTTCAGATGTACTTATATGTAATGCACAAAAGGGAAATCCTGTTATCATTATTAGCCCTATTATCTACTTATATATTACTGCTATTCATCGGCTTCGCGGGACCTAATGTTCATAAAGTGAATAAGATATCGGCCACAGAAATATTCACCGAATCGCAGATCAACAGCTCGTACACCAATCGCCTCATGTCTTCGGGACCATTCGTCGTGACCACACCTTCGCTCAACACATACTCTCAACGGCTCTGTCTTTTCCTAACATTTCACCTGAAGAACGAAGAGGCGTCGGAAGCGTTTCACAAAGACATTGTCGTCAAAATGAAATTGGATGGCATCGACTCGTCCAACAAAAACATATCAATCGTTAGCGACAGCTCTCTGTCGTATCCGCTGTACTGCGGGGGCCGACAGTGCGAACCCATACAAGTCCTTCATCTGACTTACATCGCGTACACACACTATAGAGTTAACATAGCTTTCGATAGCTTGGAATCCGTTAACAATAAGTATGTCATCGAAGACATAGTATTCACGTTTCAGTCGATCAACACGTCGTTCACCACTCTTTCCATTTGGTTCCGATTCTTCTTCCTATTGATAGCGTTTTGCGTAATGTTTTGGTTCACACATAGTCTCTATCGGTTCCCATTCATCGACTGGTCTCTGGAGCAGAAATGGACGGCACTTCTTCTGGTGCTACTTCTGGTGACCGACAATCCCTTCTATTCGATGCAATTCCTGTTCGGGTCAGCGCTTCCACGGCTGATGGAAATCGTGTTCCAGAGTTCGCTAATGTGTGCACTAATGCTGTTCTGGTTGTGTTTCTTTCACGGCATTCGTCAGAATAACCGCTCGCTGTCGCGATTCTATGCGCCCAAACTGTCCCTAATGTTTCTTCTCTGGTTCGTTATGGTGTACGTCATGTCCGGTTCGGTCACTAATCAATTGGAAAATCCCATCTTTGATGAGACCAAACATTTCCAGAACTCGACATTTTTGCAGGTATTTTGCATTTCACATCTCATTTTGTGCATAACATGTGATGTAATGACTAGTGTTAACAAACTTTTGTTTTTTTGTCAATCAGTTCACGAATGTACTCTTCTATCTCCTTCTCATCCTTTACTTCATTTATTTAATCCTTTTAATGATGTCTGCGTTCACTGAACTCCGATCGATGCCATACTTCGACATTCGGCTTAAACTTCAAGCATTTTTGTTGATATTTGTGGTGACCATTTCGTTGCTGACTATCGCGTTGTCCTCTTCCTCATCAGCCATAAGCACAATACCATTCCTCCAAATGCTTCCGTTCAGCTATTATTACGGATCTTCGGCCGCATTCCTGTCTATATTCTCGATCGCCAATCTCTATGTCTGTATTTGTGCCTATTATTACAGGCCATCTCTCAACCAACTCACGGGTATGTCTTATGTCTTGCAATTAGTCTTAAGTTATCTCTCAATTGTTAATTGAATTCAATTAAATAGACTGTCGAGTGGTTAGAGACAATCCCACGCTTTCGATGATCAATGATTCCGACGAAGACGTTATCTATGGCAGCGATACTGAAGAACCGCTTCAACCGCCGAAACTCATTGAGACCAAGAATGACGACGAAGAGAGCGATTGATAATTACTGATCCAATTCATCAACAAATCTATATAACTATTGGTCTGAATAGTCGTTGATATCCAATAACTTTTTTTTGTGTCAATAACTTCTTTGCTTGTTATTAATACTTAACTTAATATTCAAAATATTACTTAATTTATTGGCAATGAATTTATAAGTGAATCTCTGTTTTAATGAGATTCAATGTAAGTATAGTTAGAGCTTTGATTAATATAAGAATAAAACGATTGAAATTATTAAATTCATTTAATTATATAAATTTTGTAAATTATTTGAAACATTTTCTCTTTTAATATTAATTAAAGAATTTATTTTCAATTATTATTCATTAATTAATGTTTAAATCTTAACGATTGTAAGATTTATAGCTTTAAGTCAATGGCTTTCTACCACTTTTAGTGACTATTGTCTAAAGAATGTAAATAAAAAGCAATTTATTTTTGTCTTCTCCTTAAGTGTTCCGCAAATAAAAAGTCAGGAAAAAAGTTTACATAACTTTATAGTAAAGTCGACAACATTTAAGAAGTTATTGTCGGAATAGGAGTGCAATTTCTGGAAGTAATCCAAAACACATATATTTTTGCAATTAAATAATTGCTATTCTTAGCCATTGCTCTACAATACAAATAAGATTCACTTGAATATACGGCACCAAAAATATATAACATATTTTGAAAAGTTTATGCAATTTTTCGCCAAAACATCTCAAAACTTATATTTGAAGTGTTGATGCATTAATTGGCTTTCGGTTATAAGAGCCGTAATACTTCATCAATAAAATCAAAACATAATCAACAAAATAATGAGCAAAAAGATTGCCATTTCGTCAAAAGAATATTCTGCCGGAGAAATCATCACTAAATGTATGCCATTATTACATGCGGTTAAGTATGAATACAGAGGCATGTGTTGTGACAATTGCCTCAAATTTAGTTCACATCTGAAAAAGTGCGGAAAGTGTGGAAAATTGAATTATTGTGACCCGAAGTGTCAGCGCCTGGACTGGCGGTACCACAAACTCGAGTGTCCCGTACTTTCCAAATACAAACTGTTAGCCTTTGAGAGACAGGGCTTTGATTACATGCAACGACTTGTCTTACGATTGTATTTAATGTGTGCCTCAAAACCGGATTTATTGAAACAAAAATTTCTATTACATAATGGTTTGAATCGTTCGCTCAATGATATGGAAAGTCATTCACTGGATATTGAAAATACAAAACCGTTTGAAGGAATTGTCAATTATTTTAAATTATATTCAATCGACGACTACGACAGACAATTGGTGTTAAAACTATACGGAATTATGCAAATCAATGCGTTTGGTATCGATGTATACGATAACGATCGGGGTATTAGTCATTGCGCTTCTGGTCTATACATCGAGGGCTCGGTCTTTGATCATTGCTGTCAGTCTAACGCTTGCGCTTCCGGTGAAGGACTCACTCTTGAGATAAGAGCTCTCAAACGGATTACAATCGGAGAGGAAATAAGTATAGATTACGTGCAGAATATTATCCCTAAAGTCGAGAGACAATCGATTCTTAACGAAAGATATTATTTTCTCTGCAAATGCTTTCGATGCGAATCCCATTTTGACGAGAATTTCAATTACGAAAAATTCAATGATTTGGAAACAAAGAGCGAAATGTGTTTTGCAATTCAAAACTATAGACAAAGACATGATTTTATTCGCATATTTTATCCATATTTTCATCCAAATTACACTTATTTTCTTTATAAGTCTCTCAAACAGATGGTTAAACTTAAGAATTCAAGAGTAGATACAATTGAATGCAATAAACTTATCGATGAGTTGAAGGACAACATCGCTATAACCCATGGAAAGGATCACACATTTTATCAAATGCTATTATCTTTACTCTAAAACATTTTGTTTCAAAATACAATCGATTGTAAACTTTATATTAATTTATATGTAATATTATATTTATTTTATGCTAATTTATAATTACTTCAATTTGGTCTGTATTTTATAAATTACTAATTTGTTAATAAAAATATTATTTGATAAGGTAATATTTTTAATTAATAATAGATGAATAATAAATTATATTTAATCATTAAATATTAGATATAATTATTAGTCTATACATTATTTTTAACATAATTATTGTGAGTAAATAATTATCAGAAATTTTAATTTTATTTATTGAAAAAAATTAAATTAACAGTAAAATAATTATTTAAGTTATTTATTTTTTATACTAATTAATTAATAAAAATACAAATACATGTAATTTCATTATCTTATGTGATATAAACATGTGTTAAGAATTAATAATCGATTAGACTTTTGCATAAAGGATCAAATGCTATCTTTTTGGGAACTTAAGGTGTTTTCTGATTAGGATTTCAACAAAACAATATAAAATCAAATCAAATGACAGAACCAATAATTGTACTCATATTTGGTACAACTAATTGTACTTCATTTTGTTACTATTGCGGATCTTTTTCTACCACGAATCAAAGTCTATGCTAAATATATTCGAGAATACTCGGTACATAATATTCTTGACTTTTCTAAATTATCAATTAATGCACTCATTATTGACCAATTCATGTGACAAAGTTGTGATTTGTTGGGAACCAGATTACTATTACCAGAATTATAACAAGAATAGTAAACTTTACTTAATTTACTTCATAAATGTTTAATTAGTATTTATTTAATATACATATACTTATTTAATATACGTATAACCTGGATGCTTTAGTCGGTTTTACAAATAACTTTCTAAGACTAAACTTTCTAAACTTTTTATTTAAATTAAAATATATATATAAAATGCATAAATAATGATAGTTACAACAATTGTCAGTCATAAATTGATTGTATAATGGATTTATTATGTAATTCAATGTGTCATCAATTTTATTATCACTAAATTTCAAGACGAAAACAACTGAATTATTAGCCAATAAAATATTAATTAAAGATATCACTAAAAATAATCAAATAATTTAATAATTTAAACGTATAAATAGCACCGGATTTGAAGCCCCAAAAGCAGTACTTCATAGCGTTAGTCGAAATAGTCGTCAAAATGAAGTTAACATTTGCTTTAATTTCAATTCAATTCTTTTGCATTGTTTACACACAAAGTGCAGACAATTTGCATGAAAATGGTTTGTCTTAAATAAATGTCTGTCTGAAATCAATTTACTAATTGTTTAATTGATTGTTATTTGCAAACAGCGTATAAAGAAGTGGATTATCCGGGAATCGGTCACTTCACTACCGATGACTTTTACGACCCAACCTATAGGCCGGTCGTATTCCTGCCTCAGAGTCCTCAACACATAAACACCAAATTTCTTCTCCACACCCGAAAGAATCCGACAGACCATCAGGTGATCACTCAGGGCGACAAAGAGGCCATCAAGAAGTCCAACTTCAACGCCAAGAATCCCACAAAATTCATTGCTCACGGATTTCTCGACAACCAGTTGTTCGGCAAATGGATGATCAAAATGAAAGACGAGTTTCTCGCCAACGGTGACTATAATGTCTTCATTGTTGACTGGAGTGGTGGTAATGGTCTTCCCTATGGACAGGTATTTCAAACTATTTTCTATCAAAATTTTATTAAATTGTTGTTTAACTTAAGGCAACGGCTAATACCCGAGTTGTGGGTCCAGTGTTGGCTCTATTGATCAACGATTTGAAGGTATGCCTTATTATCATTGATTAAATTTCAATTGATTTCTATAAAATAATGTTTTTGCACACAATAGGAAGTGTCTGGCCTTCAATTAACTGATGTTCAAATTCTGGGTCACTCTTTGGGATCACATGTCGCCGGTTATGCCGGAGAGAAACTGAAAGGACAAGTCGGACGCATCACTGGTTTAGACCCGGCGGGTCTGTCAGCTATTGCTTTACAAAATATAGCATTTATTTAATATTAACTTCTTTGATATATAGGTCCCTATTTTGAAGGACTTCCCGCAGCGGCTAAACTCGATGCCACGGATGTAATGAATAAATAATATTTTTGAATTTAAAATTTTAATAATAATATTACATTTTAGGCCGTATTTGTCGATGCGATCCATTCGGATGCCCGACACCTGATCCCAGATCTGGGTTTCGGAATGTATGAGACTTCCGGTCATTTGGACTTTTATCCAAATGGAGGTCTGTTTTATCTAATGGTTAACTATTAAAGAATCGTATCTTTAATATATAAAACTTATATTCTTAGGTCACGATCAGCCGGGATGTGATACACAGCGATGGACTTCAGTGATAACGGATGGTTTGTTTTATTATTAGATTTATATTTAAACAAAATACTTAATTCTTGAATTTACAGGACTTTTTGAAGGCGTGAGACGTTTGGTGGCCTGTAATCATCAAAGAGCTGTCGATTTCTACACGGAATCCATAAACAGTAAGAGTATTCATGGAGTGGGCTATCAGTGCAATGACTTCGAGTCCTTTACGGCCGGTAAGTGTGATCAATGCGGACCTAATGGTGACAAATGTGCTGTCATTGGAGAGAACGCCAAACTGTCCCAAAAGTATGTATTCATGGAGTGGGCTATCAGTGCAATGACTTCGAGTCCTTTACGGCCGGTAAGTGTGATCAATGCGGACCTAATGGTGACAAATGTGCTGTCATTGGAGAGAACGCCAAACTGTCCCAAAAGTACGAGAAAACCACACAAAATACACGATTCTTCCTCTCGACCACTGGAAAGACACCGTTTTTCAGTCAGTTATCCAAACAAATAATGCATTTTATTTATAAAAACTAATCATTTTTATCATTTATAAACAGAATATGAGTTTGAAATCCGAGTCCGATTACCCGAAGAGACCCCCGATTCCAGTGATAATCACGGAATACTTATGGTTACCCTTCACGGAGATAATGACGAACAGATCACTTTGAATGAGAAGTAATTTACACAAAACATTATAACAAAATTAACAAACATTTAAACAACATTATGGTATTAATTTGGGCGATTAATGTGAATTAGGGATCAGATCTTTCATTTGGGACAAACGTATACTTTTATCGCAAAGTTTGACTACAAATTCGGTGACGTGAAGAAAGTGACGTTCAAATGGCACCGAACTCTCGGCGGTATTATTAAGCAAAAGATGTGGATCGACAGCATTACAGTCGTCCCCCTCTCGTCCGATCATATTCTGGACACACAGTATGTATAATACACGAGAAATCCGTTATACTGTACAGTATATGTTGCCATCATTTCTCGTAAAAACTCCCAAAATTGTTGCCTTAACTCACAATTTGCACACAATTTTAGGGCACATCTGAAAGAAATTAAAACATTTTGTACCGTTAATCGCGGGGAAGCCATTCAAAACGAAAAGGACGTCGACTTCGATGTCATTTGTAAATAAATGGTTAAAACAAGTCTTCACTGATTTTTAACGCATTTAATAAAACTTTTTAAAAACTAAGTAATTATTTATATATTTATTTATCATTTGCCTCGTCTCCCTCCCCGACCTCCACCGCCTCCACCCCCTCCCCCACCAAATATCCGTCCAATAATCCTTTGAACGCCTGCCAGTGGACCCCCGCGTCCTCTTTGCCCTCGGCCTCTCCTCTGACGACCTCTTCTGAGTCTACGGCCACCGCCGCGGCCAACAATAGCCCCGCCGTTCGCGTTGTTTGCTTTATTATATTGGAATATTTTAATATTTAGAGAGAGAGAGAGAGAGAGAGAGAGAGAGAGACAATCGATTCTTAACGAAAGATATTATTTTCTCTGCAAATGCTTTCGATGCGAATCCCATTTTGACGAGAATTTCAATT